TAGGGTTTTAGGGTTTAGGGTTTAGGGTTTTAGAGTTTATAGGGTTTAGGGTTTTAGGGCTTTAGGGCTTTAGGGTTTAGGGTTTATAGAGTTTAGGGTTGATGGGGTTTAGGGTTTTAGGGTTTTAGGGTTTAGGGTTTTAGGGTTTAGGGTTTAGGGTTTATATTGTTTAGGGTTTATAGGGTTCAGGGGTTTAGGGTTGGGGGGTTTACGGTTTAGGGTTTAGGGTTTAGGGGGCCTTAATGGTTAGAATACTGTGGGGGCCGTACTAATCAGGAGAATGTAAGGGCCTTGATCGTTAGAATAGGGTTTTGGTGTATACTATCCCCAAGATAGTATAGGTAATTATTAAAGCCCCTATGTTAGGGCTTCATAGTAAGGAACCCCAGGGAGTAATATTGCTAAGCATTGAGGCTCCTATATTACCATAATAACCAACTTTGTTTGAGGGCCCCTGTGCATTCTATCCTAAACCGCCTAAACCCTCAACCGTAAACCCTAAACCCAAGATGGGAGTTCATATGACTATGAAGAAGTAGGTTTAAGGTGGTTGATGGCTTAAGGTTTGCCAGGGCCGTAAGGTTTAAATGTAGGGCTTGTAGGCTTAATGCTTTCGGCCTGAGGGTTGACGGTTTAGGGGTTTCGGGTTTTCGGGACTTTTAAAAAGGGTTTGAGATTTTAGGCTAGCAAGGTTGCCTGGACTTCGCAGGTGTCTAAACAGGGTGTTTAGAGTTCCGGGTCTGTAGGATCAGAGTTGGGCTGAAGCCCGCACTGATCGACAAGGCTGAAGTATAGCGCTGTTTTAAGCTGGCTGCAAAATACTGAACGACTTGTCATGCCCATGCAAGATCCAGCAGAAGCCTGACAAATACGGGCAGCCCAAACCAACGACAGAGCTAAATCAGCGCAAGCAGCGATGCCAAATCCTCCGCCCTCCAAGTCGTCCGTGGTCCCCTGTAGTCCATGCGGTTGTGGGGTTTGGGCGCAGGTTTCCGGTGTAGCCCACTGTTTTGGTATATGGATTCGGGGAACAATCTACAGCTCTGACGTTTTTGATCCGGAATCGCCAAGCTACTCGATCTGGCTGGGGCAGACGCGAGCCTGGAACCATCCACCAGAAAACCTGCAACACCGAAGCCCTAAACCCTGAACCCTGAACAGCAAGTCAAAACCGGACCCAAGGCTGAACCCTGAACAGCAACCGGGACCAACTACCTAAGTAACCTCCAGTATGGAGCACAAGTGTCACAAGGGTATGCCAAGGGGGGTCTGCCAGATCCGAATACCTATTTTCATACCTTAAACTCATACCTAAAACTAAGGTCTGGGGTAACCCTAAACTCCACCAAGCTTAAACCCAACAACACCGTTCAGAACCACCGAAGAAAGCCCGAGCTTACCTTGACCCCGCAATGTTGTACCTTGTTTGGTGAATCCACTTAGTTCATAACTAGCATCCTTAGGTAACAAAAAACACTACAATCTAGGGTCTAAGTAACCGTAACCATAAACCGTAAACGCCAAAACCCTACACCCTAAACTAAACCCTAAACTCGAAAACCCTGAACCCTAAACACCCTAAAACCCTACTGTAAAACCTAAACCTTGAACCCCATAAACCCTAAACCCTCAAACCTACTGTAGATTCCTCACAACCTACCGTAGATTCCTCAGATCCCGGCCCGACCATTCCATCTCTTGCTGACAGGCTCTCCGCCACTTGGCCTCGACCTGGTCTCTTCGGGTTTAGCCAGGCCTTTTTGGTTTTACAGCTTAAAGGGTTGGTAGCGTCATGGGTGCTGGCTTTATGAGGCTTGGGGCTTAGGGCTCAGAATTATGAGGCGTAAGGTTTAGGGTGCAAGATTTAGGCTGTAGTTTAGAAGGTGCAGGATGCAGGATTTCAGGGTTAGGATGTAGGGTTCATACCTATGAGGTATAAGATTCAGGGTGCAGGATTTGGTGCTGAAGGTGTAGGGTTTAGGCGTTCGGGCGATTTCCTGGTATGGTTAGGGTTCGGGTTTTCGGAATCATGCACATAGCTGGTTCAGGTGTAGGGTTGAGGAATCCATGGCAAAGCCATTAAACCCCAAACCCGAAGCCCGAAGCCCTAAAAACCTTAACCCTAAACCCTAAACCCTAAACCCTAAAACCCTAAACCCTTAACCCTAAAAGCCTTGAAAACCCTAAACCCCAAGGCCCTTAACCCGAAACCTTGAAACCCAAAGCCTCAAAGCCATCGAGTTTGGGGATCCAGTGGCTCTGGATCAGGGTCTTTAAATGGTAAGTTTTTAGGGTTTAGGGTTTAGGGTTTAGGGTTTAGGGTTTAGAGTTGAGGGTTGAGGATTTAGGGTTTAGGGTCTAAGTTGGTTTAAGTCTTAGGTAGGCTTTTAGGTTGTAGGGTTCACAGGGTTTCGGGTTTCAGCCTGGGTCTTCGGAAACCGTGGGCGCTCGGTGCAGGGACCATGTCATGTCGTGAAAGACTGACTACCCTACGCGCTTCATGCGTAAACTGTCCATCATTTGCTTATGCGCATTCACCACTACAGTATGCAGATAACGTTGGTACGGCATCGAGGCTTTGTTGTCACAGGTGCCGAGTACGATGAATACGTGTGTGTGTGCAGTACAAGCATGTACCTCTATATATATATATATATATACAGAAACTAAAGAAACATCATTCCTAACAGCTGAAGGCCCTATCAAACAATCCAAGCCCCGAACAAAACAAAGACGTTAGACCCTAAGCCCTAAACCCTGCCAGTTTTGCTTACCTCGTTTCTTGATCTTAATCAGATCACGACTGGTTAGCTACTACAGTGAACTCTCTAAACCCGAACTTGACCGAAACCCTATAAACCTTAAACCCTAAACCCTAATTCCTAAAAACCCTGAACCCTAAACCCTAAAATCCCTAAAAACCCTAAACCCTAAACCCTGTATTACAGAATATGAGAAGATCCTCAACTTCCTGGGGCTGTCAAATTATGCACTGCGACAGCTCCCAACTCCACCGCTGTAACATATCTAGGCTTAGGGGCTTAGGGTTTTAGGGTTTCAGGGTTTAAGGCTTCGGGTTTAGGGTTTTAGGGTTTTAGGGTTTAGGGTTTTAGGGTTTAGGGTTTAGGGTTTTAGGGTTTAGGGTTTAGGGTTTTAGGGTTTAGGGTTTAGGCTCCGGGCGTCAAGCCCCAAGTCCGAACTGAAACTTTGTAGCTCAAGCCCTTGCCCGAAACGGAAGTATTACAAAACACACCCGGCACGAACTCCAGTGCGTGGGCGTCACGGCCATGTGGACATGTCGTCGTAGAGTCCCAGTGCTGTCAGCTCTTGCCGTCTTTCTTCGATATCCTAGAACGGGACGTGGGGTCGCATTGGTGCCTACCGGGGCTTTCAGTCGACAAGTTATGGTGCGAGATTCCTACTTATGTTGCGTCTGTTGCTTGTCTTTTTTGCCCTTGCTGTTGAAAACGTTCCGTCATGCAGGGAAGACTGATCTCCTCTTGTGCTTTCTTGGTGGCCAGGGAGCTCTAGACATGCGGACTGGGAAATCTGATCCACTCAATTAGAGAAAGTCGTTTGAGACCCCCTCTCCCAAACCGCTACATGTGCAAGGTCAACCGTCTCTCACCGTCGTTATTGTTGTCGTCATGGTCGTGGCTGTCGCGGTTGGGTTGCTGTGGTAGTGCTGGTGGTCTTCGTGGCTGCGCTGGTGATTCCGTGGGGTCACGGCCGCGCCGCAATTACTAGTCTTGTTGATGTTGCTGCTCCGCCGGTGCCGGCTGTGGCGGGAGCCCATGTGGCAGCAGCACAAGTTCTCGTCGTTGTATAAGCTGGCGGGGTAGCGGGTAGCTATAATGGACGGGAGCAGAATAATAATAAAACGCACTAGAAAGGGTGGCCGGAAGTACACTAGCCCAGCACCGTGGTTGCTGTGCGGCGGCAGCAGCAGCAGCAGCGGCAGCTGGTGGTATGCTTATAGCCGGCACATCACTAACTGCCACAGTAGACTTGTCAAACTTCCCATCCCAATCAACACCAGTCTGGACTAGCAGCTAGCAGGCCTTGCGCCATCGAAAACCCCGTGGGGAGAAGAGCCTTGACACGATCTCCGGGCCTGCAAAGAACCGTCTCGCTGGTTGACATTTGCGTCCACGGAGTTGCAAACTAGCCTCGGCTCAAAAGCCGCAGTCAAACCGAGGAATCATGTTTTAAGGCTTTTGGGCCCAAAGACCATACCATATAAGGCTTTTGGACTACTTCAGTCTTCGCAAAAGCTCTGAAGAAGTGCCGCTGTTGATCTGCACTATTACACTACACGCCGGGTGTGATCAAAGCATCATGTACTCCCGAACCCTGTAACCTTTAAGGCGACATCATGAGCCAAGCCCCCACTTAGCTTGTGCTACCTGCTCCGTTTGCTAGCAACGTCCAGGTGCTCGCACGGCTACATACCTGAAGCTGAAGAAGCCTTAGTTTAGGTTACGTTCTATGTTTGAAGCACTCGCATTTTCTGAAGGTGACCTACATCGAGAAAAAAGCGAGTCTCCTCTCAACCTCAACCCCAAGCCCCTTAAACAGTAGGCTCTAAGCACTGAGCCCCTCCAACTTAAACCTTAAACCCAACATCCCAAGCCTATTGCTGAGAAACATACTTCTCCAGTGCCTCGATTTTCCAGGGCCCTCCACATAGAGTCCAAACCCTCAACCCAATGACCTTTGTGAAGCGACACCTATCAAGAAGCCAGCCTAATCCCTGAACCCTAAACCCTAAACCCTTCACCCTACACCCTAAACCCCAAACCCGACACCCTAAACCCTACACCCGAAACCTTAAACCCTAAACCCTCAACCCTAAGCCCTACTCCACATACTCGCAACGTACTCTCGGGATCCCCAGATTCTTTCTATGCAACCACACGCTTTGAAATGAAAGCCAAACAGGGTTTAGGGTTTAGGGTTTAGGGTTTAGGGTTTAGGGTTTAGGGTTTAGGGTTTAGGGGCCAAGCCCGGCCAAACCCTAAACCCTAAACCCTGCAGCCCAATCCTCAACCCTAGACCTTAACAAAAAAGGCACAATGTAGGGGCCTTAACAAGGGCTTTGGGCCCCTCTACAGTATACCTATACCCCCAAAATAGTCTGGTAATTATTAAGGCCCCTAAACCCTAAACCCTAAGCCCTAAACCCTAAACCCTAAACCCCCTATTACCTGCCGCAGCGGAGGGGCTGCATCCGGTCGCAGTCTGCCCCGTAGCATCGGAGGCCGATCATCACGCCGTCCTTTCTAGGGCATTTTGGAGTTTCAGGGTTTGGAGTTTCAGGGTTTAGGGCTTCAGGGTTTAGGGTTTAGGGCTTCAGGTCAGGGTTTAGAGAGTTGAGGGTTTTGGTGCGTAGGGCTCAGGGCTTAGAGGGTTTAGAGGGTTTAGGACTTAGGGTTAAGGGTTCAGGG